AAGTACAATCAGTGTTCTATGAGGACAATTTCCCTTCTACTTCTTTAGGAAAAAAATCACTATGAAAAATCAACCATGTAATCTTTTATAATATAACTGAAATGTAACAGCAATTCTAGCTAATCACATATCAGTAGTTAGTTAATTCCATTCGGAACAGATTACAGACCTAAGCTATTTCTATGTACTTCAGGAAATGTCTATCATTTGAGACATTTGCATCTACTCAGAGTCCTTTGTATTACAGGAACATCCTTTTAATCCTAGACATCACGAGAATATCATATGTGTATGTGATACTTCTCTTTCTTAATGACAGTATTTTCCTAGAAATATATCCCAGAGTATAAAAATCCTACTGAAAACTGGGGCAGTAGGGGGGGGGATGAGGAGGGGGTACAGATTTTAAGACCTTCACTCTTTCTCTTTTCGAACACCTATTACTACATGATAGTAATTCCCACGAGATTATTTTTTTATTTTATTTGAAGTTGGCGAAAATCTGTGCAGAATCCTTTGAGCATACCTCTTAGTGATAGATGTCAGATCAGTGTTATGTGGAAGGACTTTTATTTGACAGGTATATGACAGGAAGAAGCCTCTCTCCAAAATATAAGATTTAACTGTAAAATCCTTCTGTGAGATTAAAATAATCTTTTGTTCCTATATATAAATAACCTATTCATTCTTGCCTCAAACAAATCAGTTGGTGTAATTAATTTGAAACAGTATGAAATTAAGAGACTTAAAGGTAAATGTTTGTTCAAATTAGTATAAATATTTTTATATGACTTAAATGTGAAACAGGTAGCTAATACATATTTAATGATATTTTCTTTAAATTTACAATATTTTTATAATCATCAACCAAGAACATGTTCAGATTTACTCACTGTGCCGCAAGCAAATATTCTAGTCAGGTAGCATCTTGGGAAGAGTTGACTTTATTACAATTGGGTATACGGTATGTACTACAATGAAAATGGTCCTAAATAATTAGCTATATCTCATAAATCTGGCTTTGATTTGTCCAAATATATTACAAGCATTGCCCTATTTTAATAGTATAAAATTATTTCATCTATTCCCCAATGTCACAAGAAGAGGGATCAAAAAACTGTTTTCTTAACAAAATCTAGCATTTCCAGATGATCTTCCTATAATTCCTTATTGTGGGGAGCAAACCGGACTAGACTGTTACTGGAATTAAGACTTATTCTATGCATCTGCTCTCCCACAATATGGCGCTGGGAGAGAAGTAAACAGCTTCCGCACAGCTGCCTCCAGTTCAACCAATTAACTGTAGGACTTGCTCCTGATTGGAGAGCAGCGTACTCGGCGTATGGGCAGCCGAGTTGGGATTGGCGGAGGAGGACTATAAAGGAGGAGAGAGACGGCATGCACCAGGAACATTTATGGGGAACATCTAGCTGAAGGAACACCCGTGCAGCCCCCGAGAAAGCCGGCCGGCGGTGTGCCGCTCCCCTGCGGAAGTGGGGAATGCGGCCAGGGGGAACTGCCCTTCCACGGAGGTGGAAGGGATAGTAGCCAACCCGGGAAGAACCAGCAGCAAACCCGGGGAGGGCCGAGCAGACGAAAGAACAGCGCAGGGCTTAGTGTCGTTCCTCCACGAAGAGGGGGAGCGACATAATGGTGCCGTGACTCGGATAGGAAACCTAGGACGGATAGAAAACTTAGGAGGGAAGAAACGTGACTCGGATAGGAAACCTAGGACAGATAGGAAACTTAGGAGGGAAGAAACGGGAAGAACTGGGAAAATATCGGAGAGAGAGACTAGCAAACAGTCTAGGGAAAATATCGGAGAGAGAGACTAGCAAACAGCCTAGGGAAAAGCAGGACGAAAGAGGTGCCGGAGGAAGCTGCTGAAAGCCTAGGCATAGATTCAGATACGGACTACAGGGGGAAGCTGGGAGAAATCTCTAAGGTCGAAAGCGAAAGTGAAAGCTAGAACAAACAGACTCGGACGCGGACTGTGGGGAGAGGCCAGGAGAAATGAGGGAGGAATATCGTTGGAGGAAAGTTTGGGGAAACATACCGGGTAGAGAAAAATGTTAGGGAAATTGAAGCCGTGGGGGGCAGGCCAAGGCGGACACGAAAGCCACTTTGGGATTCTCAAGTTAGCCCGGGAATAGGGGGCGAAAAGTTGAAACCAGAAGCTGAAACGTGAGCCAGGTTGGGATCCGTCTGATTAGCCCGGGGAGCAAAGGACGGGAAGCCAAACCGTGGGGCGGAGACGTACGCTGGGTTGAATTCGCCAGGCTAGCCCGGGGAACTTAGATTGAATGCTAATGGCGGAGACGCAAGCTACGCTGTGTTACTCGCGGAAGCCGCCGCGTGCAGAGAGAGCACGGGGCGTGAATAGATAGGGAACGGGGCTGGCGTAGGCCGTGGTTCAGACGTGAAAGGGTTAAGCGTGGAGACCGCGGAGCGCGCGAAGCCGAGCCGCGCAAAGCCAGGAAGCTGCGCAGATGAGAGAGGCGCGCGGGCTGAAGCGGCGCAGAGCCGGGAACCCGCCGGCGGGGCGAGGTGCCGGAAAGCCGCAGGGATAAGAGAAACAGAAGTTTAGAAGTAAAGTGAGAAAAATAGGAATGCTGGAAGATAGAAGTAAAATGGGAGAAATAGGAATGCCCGGAGATAGAGAAATAGAGAAATAAAAAGGCCTCCCTACAACACTGCAATGTGAGAGCTTGGATTCGGTCTGCCTAATCAAGTGAGGCGATGAGCACCTGCGGGCAGCTAGCAGCTTATGCGCCGCAGGTCACCGAAGACAGGCACGAATTAACATCAGTAAGGCTTCCCCACAATACAACAATATTAAGCTTGGATTCGGTCTGCCTGATTTAAGGCGGTAAGCGCCAGCAAGCAGCTCGACCAGAGTATGAGCTGCAGGTCACCGAAGATAGGCACAAACCAACACTAATAAGTCTCCCCCACAATACGGCAATGAGAAGGCTTGGATTCGGTTTGCCTGATAGGTTTTGTAAGCCCCTGCAGGCTCGACCAGAGCATGCGCTGCAGGGTACCGAACACAGGCACGCATCAGCGCCTAAAAACCTCCTCACAACATGGCGAAGAGAGGACCCGGATTCGGTTTGCCTGATGGATAGGACTTGTAAGAGCCTGTGGCAACTCTAGCAAGTAGAGCAGAGTGTGTGCCGCGGGACACCGAAGACAGGCGCGTATCAACGCCAAAAATAAAAAGAAAGGGGGATCTGTGGGGAGCAAACCGGACTAGACTGTTACTGGAATTAAGACTTATTCTATGCATCTGCTCTCCCACAATATGGCGCTGGGAGAGAAGTAAACAGCTTCCGCACAGCTGCCTCCAGTTCAACCAATTAACTGTAGGACTTGCTCCTGATTGGAGAGCAGCGTACTCGGCGTATGGGCAGCCGAGTTGGGATTGGCGGAGGAGGACTATAAAGGAGGAGAGAGACGGCATGCACCAGGAACATCTATGGGGAACATCTAGCTGAAGGAACACCCGTGCAGCCCCCGAGAAAGCCGGCCGGCGGTGTGCCGCTCCCCTGCGGAAGTGGGGAATGCGGCCAGGGGGAACTGCCCTTCCACGGAGGTGGAAGGGATAGTAGCCAACCCGGGAAGAACCAGCAGCAAACCCGGGGAGGGCCGAGCAGACGAAAGAACAGCGCAGGGTCCTGTGTCGTTCCCCCACGAAGAGGGGGAGCGACACCTTATTCTCTTTCCTTACACCCATCCAAACCATATCAGTAAGAAACAGATACAACTCCACTAAATGCCCTATTATCTATAAATGATATTCTTCGTCTGAGAACTACTAGGATCATATCATCTTTGATACATTTTAAAATATTAGTCCACATACAAGGTAATGTCAAAAACTCATGGAAAATGTATATTATGAAAAAACTATGCATGGATTTCTAAAATTCTTACACCAAAATAAACTTCTCTTTTAATTTCATTTTCTGAAAACTTTCTGAAGCCTCCTTATAGATGCAATGCACATCTATTTAATGCATGAATAGAGAAACTCATATGCATTTCTAGATTTGTGATTCTTATGATTATATTATCCTTCAAGAACTAACCAAAGTTCTACAGTATTTTCAGACGCAGGAGGAATAAAAAGTGAGAGAATGGTGAGAAGTCAAAGACTCCTTGTTTTCAGATTTGTTTTCATCTCTAGCTTTGTTACAGGCCTTCACCTCAGAATCTGTTCAGTTTTCTCTCTGTGACAGACAGTTCTTTTCCTTGAATAAGGTAGTTTGCCCTAGCTAGAAATGGACATACACAGTCCCTTTTGGGCTTTTCGGCTTCTTTATATTTCATAAAAATTATGTCTGAAAAATAACACAATAAGTGGCCCAATCAAAAAAGTACGGTGATTATGACTTGATTTCTTTATTCTTTTCTTTTCTATTACTTTTTAGGTAATGTACATAGTAACCAGTATAAGGTTAGTGGAATCACATTATTCAACAATGAAGTACAAGGGACCACCAAAAAATTCATGGAAAGTGCATACTATGAAAAAACTACATGGATTTCAACATTGTTTTGCACCAAAATAAACTTGTCATTTAATTCAACTTTTTCATGATCTTTTTGATATATATCCTATTACTATTTTCTTAGAGAAGGATAAACAAAGCGCATTCAAAATAAAATTTCTGGCTATTTATTATTTAGTTCCTCAAATACTTACTGAAGAGACATAAAACAAATATAAAGACACTGAAATACAATATGGTATCTATTTTATAAAAGCATTTTTTGCCCATATACTCCAGTGATATTTCATTAGCAAGAGTGAAGTACTACATTAAAAAATGTATAGGCCTTTAGATTTTATTGCAGGAAGATTTCTAAAAATTTGTTTTAATTGAGATAAAATTTGCACACAATAAAATTAAAAGCATGAAAGTTCATGGTTAATGTATTATTGCTATATGGAGTAATCATTCTCCTAGACCAGATATTATAAAATATCATCTTACCTTACAAAGGAAGTTTATTTTAAAACCCAATGACTGGGCATTTCTTGAGCCTGAGTTCATGTAGTTTCCAACCAAAAGAACTAACTCTAAAAGCCTGTTAAAGCTTTCACTTTTCTTCAGTTCTTCACAGGCAAGAGTTACTGCTATGATGCTTGGTTTGATGTTGTTTACTTGTTCTTCAAACATGAGCTTGAAAAGAATGCTATTGAGCCGAGGCTGCAACATTTTCACTGAGCTCATCTGTAAGATAGGGAGAACATACATTTAAAGCCTGTTATTTTATCTCTTTAGTGGGGATAATTTCATAGACATACTATAAAATCTCTGCATAAAGTGAATTCTCTGTGAGTTTTAAAAAACAGATTTTCATTTGTTTTAAACATTCAAAAGGAATGTTTTACTGAAGTCTTAAAAACAGTTTCCTATTAGGTTTCTTTAAAAATAAATAAAATCATCCTTTACACTCTTATCATTAATAAAATATTATTAACCCTGAACAGCTGGTATATGTTAATTGCATCATCATTAACCATCAGTAGCATTCAACTGACACAATCTATCCTTTAGCTGAACTAAGAAAATTTATAAATATGAAATTGAGTTGAGTGAATAGTTGGGCCACAGATAAAACATGTACATAATGACAGAAAATATAGGAAGAAAATTTTCTAAAAATTACCTATGACTATGCTGCTTGAAATCAGAGGACAAGGTCTGATTAAGCATTTAATAATTTCTTTTTAGGGTGCTAAGCTTCTAGTCCCTATTGCTTTATTTTTTTAACTTTTATTTAATAAATATAAATTTACAAAGTACAAATTTGGATTATAGCGGCTTTTTCCCCCATAACATCCCTCCCACCCACAACCATCCTATCTCCCACTCCCTCTCCCATCCCATTCTTCATCAAGATTCATTTTCAATTATCTTCATATACAGAAGATCAATTTAGTATATACTAAGTAAAGATTTCAACAGTTCGCACCCACACAGAAACACAAAGTGTAAAATACTGTTTGAGTACTAGTTATACCATTAATTCACATTGTACAACATATTAAGGACAGAGATCCTACATGGGGAATAAGTGCACAGTGAATCCTGTTGTTGTTTTAACAATTGACACTCTTATTTATGATGTCAGTAATCACCCCAGGCTCTTGTCATGAGTTGCCAAGGCTATGGAAGCCTCTTGAGTTCAGCAACTCTGATCTTATTTAGACAAGGTCATAGTCAAAGTGGAAGTTCTCTCCTCCCTTCAGAGAAAGGTACCTCCTTCTTTGATGGCCCGTTCTTTCCACTGGGATCTCACTCACAGAGATCTTTCATTAGGTTTTTTTTTTGGTTCTTTTTTTTTTTTTTTTTGCCAGAGTGTCTTGGCTTCCATGCCTGAAATACTCTCATGGGATTTTTAGCCGGATCTGAATGCCTTAAGGGCTGATTCTGAGGCCAGAGTGCTGATTAGGACATCTGCCATTCTATGAGTCAAGCATTTAATAATTTTTAAACTCTGAATTCTATTCATAAAACATATTAAGTAGTTATACATGCTCTAAATAATTTCACCTACTTGACATTTGTTCATGTTAAATAACTCAGTTATGGTAAAATCACCTAAACTTACCTTCAAGGACATTATTCAAGAATTTTATACTGTTTTTCATAAAAATAGTTGAATTTTGGTTTTAATTACTTTTTCATAATATTGGTGCAGATTAATATTCCCTTTCATATACTTCTATTATTATTTTCAGTTTCTTATTTCCTATAGCTATAAATTATTTAAGTATTTTTCATTCACCACGTGAATTCGGGCAAAGAGATGGAGGGAGGGTAGCATACACAAATGTACATATGCACACACACAATGAATTTACTCATGATCCCAGTTATATTTCCTTTTGCATGTATAGCTAACTTCCTTAAATACAACTGTCAAACACAGACTAGGTTCTAGGATTTCTGCAGATAACAAGAAAAGCATTTGACACTATAAACAAAAGCCTTTGATCCAAAAAGTCCCCTTCAAATGCAGCAAATGAGCTGGTGAGTAGACCATGTCTTCTAATACAGAAGGAAGTCTATTATTATTATTCTTTGATATTAACTTTCCCACAAACCATGAATATCTGCCTCTACAAATACGAACTTTTGCCTTCTACTAATTCTTTTTTTTTTTTTTTTGACAGGCAGAGTGGACAGTGAGAGAGAGAGAGACAGAGAGAAAGGTCTTCCTTTTCCATTGGTTCACCCTCCAATGGCCGCTGCGGCTGGCGCTGCAGCCGGCTCACCGCGCTGATCCCAAGCCAGGAGCCAGGTGCTTCTCCTGGTCTCCCATGGGGTGCAGGGCCCAAGCACTTGGGCCATCCTCCACTGCGCTCCCTAGCCACAGCAGAGAGCTGGCCTAGAAGAGGGGCAACCGGGACAGAATCCAGCTCCCCGACTGGGACTAGAACCCTGTGTGCTGGTGCCACAGGCAGAGGATTAGCCTATTGAGCCGCGGCGCCAGCCGCCTTCTACCAATTCTTCTATAAGACATCGTACTTTTTACAGGCAGATATATCAAAGCATGCCGGAAGTACCCACCTTTCAAGACTATTGCTTAGCTGTTATCAAAACAATTTATAAGGATTTAAAGGGATTTGTTTCACCATCTTCTCTGATGATGAATAACACATCTTACTACTATGACACTATTATCTTCCAATAATAAATACTCAAAATTTTAGTGATATTTAAGCCATGGTAATCACAATATTGTCAATTCAGGTTTAAATATTGTCAATTCTTGCCAATACTTAAACCTGAAGAATTTATTAAAACTGTCCCTTACAACAGTACTTCAAAAACTTTGTGGAAAAATAGGATTAAAAGATAAATGATATCTCCATGTTAGGGAAATAACATTTTCCTCTAGAAATATAATTTTTGGTATTATGCTATTTGGCAGCATTTTGAAACACAATCTTGGAGTTTAGGAGAAAATAAATACTGGAGTTGGAAGACTAGTATGTTATTTCAATAGATATTATGGAAGGCAAGGTCATGAATGAGAAGAGTGGCTGCATAGGGAGAAGAGAGTTGAAGACTGCACACTGTGGAGCACCTAGCGCAGGATCTTGCATATACTAGACATTCAAATATTTGCTGATTGATTGTAAAGGCATTCCTTAGCTGACTAACCATTTTCCAGACCTGTACCCAGGAAGAACAGATTGTCTACTGACACAGATAAAGAGCTGATGGCAATATCTTACTCTTCCCAAAATAATGTCTTCAAGTTGTATTGTCAAGCCAGAAGTTCTATGGACATATTTTATTGAACTGTTATTAATGGGTATTAATCTGTTTTCAGTCAACCTGATTTCAGGTAGAAGTTGAATATTATAAGGTCAGTGCTACTCTTTTTTTCTGGTGAAATTTTCCTCATTCCTTCTTCCCCCTTAACATAGCTTGATACAAGGCAGGTAATATATGTGATAGGTGATAAAAATAATTATAAAATGAATAAACAATGAACGTATGTATTCATTCACATCAAGTAGGAATCTTAATGTCAGAAAAATGCTGGGTTGAGAAGAATATGCGTAGCTTGGAAGGACAGAAAAGCAAGCTGACGTTGGGGAGGAGGAGATAACATAGGCAAGGTCATTTGGAACCTAATAGGTCATCTCAACAATATTGCCTAGGACCAATCTTAGCCCAAATTCAGAGCCCCATATAACTATTTTTAAGGGTTGACTTTGAGACAGATGTTTCCCTAGCCCCAGGAGAAGGAGAGAATCAATGCTTTGCATTCTCCAGATTCATAATGTCAGTTGTTATGAAAAAACTGACTTTTGAGTTACACAGATACGGGCTGAATTAGAGCACTGCCACTTTCCAGTTCCGTGAATTACTGCAGGTTACCGAATATTTCTGAGTCTTTATTTCCTCAATAGAAAAACGGATTCATTAAACCATCCATGTAAGTTGCAGTAGGATTGAAATGAGAAGCAAAGTGTAACATTCCTGTCACAGTAACTGACACAATGTAAGCCCTCTCAAACAATCTCTATAGTTATTATCTTCTTTATTCATCCTCAGAAATTCTCAGTGAGAAAAACCATGACCCAAAGGTGTACCCCCTAACCCTAACCACCACTAATGAAATGTGTGTTTCCAGGGTTCGGTGACAAAGATAGAGTTTTCACTAGAGCTAACTTCCGCTACACATATGGGAAATATCCAATGCTCAATTTCACTATTTTCTATTCCTAATGTACGTGTACTATTAGATATGTTATCATTGAAATGTGTTATTATTGGCCGGCGCCATGGCTCACTTGGCTAATCCTCTGCCTGTGGCGATGGCACCCTGGGGTTCTAGTCCCGGTCGGGGCGCCGGATTCTGTCCCGGTTGCTCCTCTTCCAGGCCAGCTCTCTGCTGTGGCCAGGGAGTGCAGTGGAGGATGGCCCACGTGCTTGGGCCCTGCACCCCATGGGAGACCAGGAGAAGCACCTGGCTCCTGGCTTCGGATCGGCGCAGCGCCAGCCCTAGCAGCCATATGGGGGGGTGAACCAACGGAAAGGAAGACCTTTCTCTCTGTATTTCTCTCTCTCTCACTGTCTAACTGCCTGTCCAAAAAAATGTGTTATTACAAAATCAAGAGATTATGAAGGAGGTGAAGCCATACAGGCACAAATGTAGCAATAGTCACTGATTATATTAACAAAATTTTCACAATCATATGTGTGAATTTTTATGATCAGACTAGGGGACACTGAGAGATAACAGTTTAACCCTTATCAGAGGATTTGGGTATATAAGAGAATGTCTTGATAACAAAGCTTAGAAATAATAGGGAGCACTGAGCATCATCCTCAGCCACAGATACAATTATTAAAAGACTTATGTATCTGAAAGGTACTTAAGCACACCTAAGTGATATGAGTAAACAAAAGAAAAACCCTGTTGAAATGTGTGCTTGTTTTCAGCTGTGGTGCCTCATAGCATTTTAGTTGACTAGCATCTGTCATTTTATTATTCATTCCTCGAAACATTTTGGGATGCTGACCAGGGTGTTGTATTATGTAGGGGATTTATTTGTGTTATGAAGTCCTTGTCTATCATATTACATCAAGGAGCTCTCGTTTCGTTAGCTGATCTGTACTATATTTAAAAAAAAAAAGTACATTGACAGCTTTAGTGAAAGCAGCTACAAGCGGGTTATTTCCCCAAAGAATTGGGCACAGGTTTG